AAAAAAAGCAATAGAAAGTGTGATTTTTGGTTTGATTAGGGAACGGGACCGTGAGCTGCAGTTAAAAACCTCTGCTCTCCCCCTGCAGGCCGTGCAGTAAAGAATGAGATGTCTTTGCTGAGACTTTCTGTTAAGTGGTAAAAATCCAGCATGTAGCAGAGCCAAACAAGCCCCTTCACGCCCTGGGAACTGACCAACAGTGTAAGTGGCCTGTTTTGAATCTACTAAATTTATATTTTTGTAAGACAGTCAGAATGTTTGAGTGTGTGTTCCTTCTTTTTTTTTTTTYTTTTGTTTTTCACCACCGTGGCCTCCTCAGAAGGGAAGATCGCGCTCACTCGGTCTGACCCAGGGTCACATTCATGCAATCTGTCGATGCCACCCAATAGCTGCTTGATGGCCATGACTCAGCGCCGCTTTTCAGTCATCACGCTTCGAGCTTCCCTCCTGCTGTTTTGACCATCCATCAAACCGGCTGCTGACCATGCCCTCTCTCGGTCATGACAACTGCTCTTAAAGTGGCATCTCACTGAGCTGCAGGAGACTAGCCGGTGACCTAAAATGATCAGAGAATTGCGGGAAAATGCATGAATTGTTTTTTTTTTAATTGCAGCCTCCCTGAACTTTCAGCGTTTATCAAAGGAAAAAAATTGTATAGGTCCTCTGGACGGGTTCTTCTTTAATGAAACGTGTTGAAACGTGTTGAAATGAACACTTTCAGCGTTTATGACCAAGTGACCAGTGAGCTGCTTTTTGAGCATCCAGATTTTGAAAATCACAGCCTGTTTTTGTCAGCACAGCCTGCTAAACTGCATTCTAAAAATGGGCTTTTTGCCCACTTCTGTCTCACTCAGCAGCTGCCCCCCACAGCTACGATTTATTCTGCTGGAGCACAATTTAAAAATGACGATAAACAGAACACTTTGTCAATAAATATGTGAATGCTGGTTCATTTTAGGTTTTGTAACTTATATATTTGTTCAAATATACTGTACATAGGATTAGTCCTATTAAAAACATTCAAATGTCTTTAATGCCTTCAAAAATATAGCTCCCTTTGAAATTTATTGCAACATACTTATGCTAATACTACTACTGAAAGTACTCCATTTGCTTCATTTTGCTTTTAGCATAGCTGGTGCTTTGTTACTGTTAGCGTTCAGCACACTCAACATTCACACGGCTTTTTCTAAGAAAGTGCTGCTCTTCTTCAGCTTAGCTTTTAGACAGGACATTTGGACTTGGATGTTTTTGGTCAGAAGAGATCTCCTGCATATGATTCAAAATACAGTTTTTGTGCTTTTTATGCAAATTGAAGACCCCCACAACATAATTTAGATGGGCTTGAAATACATCGAAGATGCACACGGAGACTTTGTGGCTGTTGTAATGAACATAGGATTGTAATGCCGGGATTTAGGTAGGAGTTTGGTACACGTGTTTTCAAAGCTTACGGAAGTTTACAAAATTTACGTACGTAAAAAAGTTGCTAACTGATCGGGACTGGAGATCGCTACCTCCTCTACCCAAGCCAGGACAATTTACTCTTTGTGTCGTCCTCTGGCTTCATAAAATCATTCACGCGCACACTACTTGCAAAGTTTTATGAAATTTACGTAGAGTAAAAAACAAACAAACAAACAAACAAACAAACAAAAAACAACTCTCTGTGAATCTGAAGATCAACACAACACCCCGAGGGTGCTCTGAGGCGTCGCCGGAAAACCGAACAGGGCATCAAACCAACGCCCTGACGCCTGACTGCGAGAGCAAAGCAGTCGCACAAATTCTTTTTGAGATCACGTTCAGCCAGAACGTGGTCCATCAAGCCCGTCAAGGTTGAAAATCCCAGAGAAAGTCGACAGACATTCTGGAGACATTCTGGACATTCACTCGTGAAGGCTGTTTACCAGCAAGTAGCAGTCCGGTAAGACACCCCCTTTAGCAGCCACCCGAGTCCCACCTCAGGAACATCTAGTGCGTGGCCTCTGTCACAGTCGGCCTTTGTTTTAGGCGAGAAAGAGTCAGCCTCTGTTCTCACCTCAGGCCTACAACCAGGTTTATGACAAATCTGTCTGTTGGGGTTTSACATTCAGTCATGAAAGAGTGAGGGGATAAAAGGCCTACAGAGCTTCCATCTTCCTGAACCACATCAAATCTCCCTCAGGCGATCTTTTTCGGATTTTCTGTCTTTTCTGTACCCACTCTGTCTTTGTTTCTCTGTTCCGTCACCTTCCTCCCATCAGTTCGACAAAAAAGCGCTGCTTTATTTTCCTAATCTTCTTATCTGCATGACAGCACAGTCAGGCAATTCTGTCTTTTGTCTGGCTTGGTCAGATTCCTCCTCAGGAAGGCTGTTACGTAAACATGAGGACTGGAACCTGTCCAGGTGTGGGCAAAATCAGGCCTGGGAGGAAAAAAGTAATCTCCAGCTGAAATCCCACCCTGCCTGACGGGAGCCGCTGTGACCTGCAGCTGATTATCCACACTCCGGGCAAAAAATAAAAATAAAAATACATAAAACGGGTGTTGAACAGCATGGTGAAACTGACATAAAGTGTTTAACTTTTTGAATTTAGGCACAGGACTCTCCATTAGTCACAATCACAAAAAATAGCCAAGTGTCAGTTTTTCATCATGTTCACTTAAAAAAAAAGATCACAAAAATGTAATTCCTTTAATGAATGCATGTTTCCCACTGCTTGTCATGCCAGAATTAAAAATTAAAAAAATCATCACGCAACATCCACGTCGTGAGGACAGTCAGCTACAACTGTACTAATTTTAGCTTCATATCTGCAAATTTACCAGAGTCATTCCCATTTTTGTGTAGCCTAAGTTTGATAATCTGTGTCGGCCATCTTGCATTGAATTGACTCCAAACATTAATGAGTTTTAAATATACATTCATTGAATATTTCCTGAAAGTTCCATCAAAATCCACCTGGTGGTTCGTGAGATATTTTGCTAAAAGACAAATTGATTTTCCTCCAATTAACGGTAATGTTTCGACAACCATGGTGCACATTCTGTTATTACTCAGAATAGATGCTTGGGATGATATTCAGCTACTAAAACACCAGGTTTTTAGGTTAATATCTATAAATTAGCATTTTTTAAACATCCATTTGCTGTAGCAGCCATCTTGGATCAGGCTGACTTAAAAAGGCAGTTGTTGTAGAGAAACGTTTTGCTGAGATGTTTGAGCTGGGCCTCAGCTGTGGTGTTTACAACAACAATGGTCCGCAGCAGTCAAATGTAGTCCAAGGACGAACATGAAAGAGGCATTTCAGGTCAAACTTGTGTGTCAGGAACGCAGCCAAACCCGACCACCTTTTCTCTCTCTCTCTCTCTCTCTCTCTCTCTCTCTCT